AGGTGAGGACTTTGAAAGGTGATTAGATCATGGGAGCAGAGCACTCATGATTGGAATTGGTGCCAATAAAAGATCCCTCAGGAAGCTGGCTCATCCCTTCTACCATGTGAGGATGCAGTGAAAAGATGGCTATCCATGAACTAAGAAGAGGACACTCACCAGACACCAAATCTGCTGGCATCTTGATTTTGAACATCCAGCCTTCAGAACTCTGAGAAATAAATTTCTGCTTTTTATAAGAAACGTCGTTTATAGTGTTTTGTTACAGCAGTTTGAACAGACTCAGATAAATATTCAACTCATCTTAAACACTCTTTCCCCTAAACATTTTGACTACTTTCAATTCCCTTCCCTCTTTATTTCTGTACTGCCAATTATACTGTTGCTATGAGTGTTTGCTTTATACCAGGTGCCTGGTATAGAGAGAAACTCTGCTAGATGCCTTCTGTTTTTCTAGGTAGAGAGACCAAGCTGAACCACATTTTTTATTCCTCAAGTCCATGGGATTCTTCTCTACAGATTTCTATCTAGCCCCAAAAGACCCCGATTCCCACCCTACTAGATCCTCATATCTCTTCTCCTCCACTGCACTTAACATGTGCATCCCCTGGGCCTCAGGCTCTGTCCTCCCCAATGGGCTCATAAACACTCAGCACTCAACACATGAATCAAGCCTGAGACCTCAACAAGGCCCTGCTCTTCTGAGTTAAACAGGCTTGGTCAGAAGAAAGAGGGAACATGAGCTCACCAGGAAGTCAAACAATCCTGTGTTCCTACACATCTGAGAATAACAAAAGATATGAATGCCATTATTTAATCTAGAGAAGATGGAACTGAAGGTGGTAGTGAAAGAAACTTCCCCCTAAATAATTTCCTTGGAATGCTCCTCAAAAAATAATAAAATCTATAGACGTATGGGAAATGCAATACACCCCCTTCTAGGAGAATCCCAAATCATATCAGCTAATTTAAAGCTCCAAGAAGCTGTGCCTTAAAAAAACAAGTTTGTCTTTTCTTAACCCTATATTTCTCAAAATTACTTGGTCACGCTAGAGAGTAAGCCCACTGAGGGATACTATTTTATATTGTTTCTCTTAGTATCTCCCTTCTCCCTCCAACCTCCTATCTCCACCTCCGTGGATCTAGCTCATTTCTGGCACTCAGAAGGGACTCAAGAAAATACAATTTGAATAGAATTGTAATCCAGATCTCTGAAAGAAAGAGGCCTGAGACAGATTGTTCTTCTGTTCCACTGAACTTTTAAATAGGGAAGATACAGCCAAACAGAAGGAAGAACTTCCCAGCATTGAGTGGAGTGATTCAGGAGAATGGGTGTTCTAGAAAAGTTAGAGAATCTCATTCTTAGAATCCTTAACATTCAGGATATAGAAGCATAGAGGAAGACAAGATGACTTCAGTGGACTCTTTTCTGCCTGGAGAAAGCACAGAAATCATTGCTTTCTCCCCTACAACTCTATATCCACTCTTTCTCCCCACCTTTGTTTCTTTGGTACAAGAAGGAGAAAAACTCACTCAAGCTCCCACCTCAGCAATTTGGAGGAAAAGACTCCTGAAGAAAATGGGCTTTTGCAAACCTCAGGACCTGAGAAGAAGAAGGCTGAGAGCTGAAATGGAAGCAGATGACTCGCATCTGGGCCTGGGCAGAGGGGCCCAGCTGCTCGGCCCAGAGCAGGGGCTCTGAGCAGCAGCTTCTCTGTCATGGGACAGCCTCCATGGACAGCTGTCCTGGCTCTGCCCCAGGTCTGGGCAACCTGCCAGCCGAGCTCTCAGTTCTGCAGCTCCAGAACTTGTGCCCCAACTCCAGCCCATCTGCTTGACAGGCACATCGGTGCTCAGAAACTGTTCTTATTTGTCACTGTGAGCAGGTTACATATCTGGAGGATAATATCATTCAAAAGCAGTTTTTACTTGGCTTGGTAATAAACAGAAGTTCTTTGAAATATGTTTTCTATTACCTTTGTAATGATTTCTTACCAAATATCTGTCACTTGATATTTTATTTTCCATAATAAATCACATGAAGTTATGATGGGGTAGAGAAAAATAGGCTGTGTAGATGTTATGGATTTCTAAAGCCAAAAGAATCTTAGAAAATATTTCTCTATTTGTCAGAAGAAGAAACTGATAGCTAATGAAATTAAGTGCCTATTATATACCTAGTTTTAAAGTCAGATGACTATTTTATTCCCAGTTCAGTGTTTTTACTAAATTCCATAAAATACGAGGGAAGGGAGGAGTGTTGGAATGACAAAAAATAAGCCACCTGATAAGCCACCAAACAGCTGAGTCGCACAGGCAGTAGAGAGCTAACTCATTGTCTCAGTTATTATAAGAGGTTTTTTTTTTGTTTGTTTGTTTGTTTTGAGACGGAGTCTCACTTTATTGCCTGGGCTAGAGTGCTGTGGCATCAGTCTAGCTCACAGCAACCTCAAACTCCAGGGCTCAAGTGATCCTACTGCCTCAGCCTCCCGAGTAGCTGGGACTACAGGCATGTGCCACCATGCTCGGATAATTTTATATATATATATATTTTAGTTGGCCAATTAATTTCTTTATATTTATAGGAGAGATGGGGTCTTGCTCTTGCTCAGGCTAGTTTTGAACTCCTGACCTTGAGCAATCCTCCCACCTCGGTCTCCTAGAGTGCTAGGATTACAGGCGTGAGCCACCACGCCCAGCCTATAAGGGTTTTTATTTGCAACCAAGGGGAATAAGATCTCATAAAACTTTCTGAAACCCTGAACTGCATTCTAGTACACAAAGGACAAGTGGTTGTGTTTTCATGAAGTACGTGGAAGAGAAGTTCAGGTGTCAAAGATATAGAGGGACCTACTGTTTTCAAAGGATGGGGAAGGGAAGATGAGAAAAAGAGCAAGAGAAAGAGCAAGGAGAGGGGGGAAGAGAGAGAGGAAGAAAGAGAACACTGCACAACTGAGGAAGAAGACAAACATAGAGGAACACCCTGGACCTCCTTCTCCTCCTAGGAATCATATAGTCTTCATCTTTATCTTTCAGTAGCATTTCTTTTTTTAAAAAAAAATACAAATAAAATTTCTAGCAATTGCATGCAAATGGCTTCTTTAATGAATGAGTTAATTTAGATAGACACATAGTATGCTGGATAAATTGAAAACATTGTATTTCAGGTCTTAAAAATGAGCTGCAATTTGTTGAGCATTTTTTGTGAGGTGGGCCTTGGACTAAATACTCTATATTCTTTTATTCCCATAACGTTGTAACCACTCCTTCAGGAAGATTATTCCCATTTTGCAGACTAGGAAACTAGGCCTCGAGGTGTTAATGTGTCCAGGACGACAGAGCCACTCAGTGCCAGAGTCTCGTTCCACAGCCTCCTCTTCTAACCATGAAGCTATCGATGTTAGCAAGGGGTTTGCATTATGGCCAGCATAATTATTCCTAGTGCTGAACAATCTCATGCCTTCAAAAGCATTCAGCATCGTTAGCTGTCAGACACTAAATACTGGTATCCACTTCCCATCTCCATGGAAATTAAAATTCCCTCAGATATTTTCAAGCTCCCTGTAAAGATGGCATTCTTCCTGTTCCAAACCTATCAAAAACAACTGTTAAGGAAAATATTGAATTGAATTCCAGAAACTTAGGGTTAAAAAGAATTCTAAGAGTTCCATTAGTTTAGTTTTTACAGTTTATTTGTATAGAAAAGGAAAGTAATGAAGAGAACCAGGGAATGCTGGGTTTAGTTTTTTTGCTTGTTGACTCTGAGGTAATTCTTAAAAAAGCATATATTTAGCATCTACTGTCCTGAGAAACATGTTAGACATTTTCATCACTATGTAAAAGGAATGTGGTAGGGGGTGTTAAAAGAGAAACAGAGAAAGTTATTTTCCTCATATTATACTTGAATAAAATAACACTTAGAGAATTTGATTTGCTAAGCAGGAATTTTATTTAGGCTTCTTTTCACAAGTATAGCTATACTGTGGGTATTCAATGCAGTTGACCTATAGGTGATCGGAAATGGAATTTGGGGACTTGGTTTTTTAAAAAAGATTTAACTATAGTTGCAGCCATAAAATTAGAAAGAAGAGAATGAACATGTGAAAATCAGTCACAGTTAACACATTAGAAAAGTGCCTTGTAGAAAAGATCTTGTGACAAATATTTGTAAATGATGCAGAGAAGGAAACAGAATAGGAGAGAGAGGGGAGGTATCGGGAATGGAGCAACATCAGAGAGGAAGGAGTAGGAGGAGGAGCTGGAGGAGGGGCGGAATGGTCAGCAGTGCCAACTGCCATGCAGGGGTGGAAGAGATTGAGCTCAGGGGGAGAAACCTTTAAGAGCTCAAGGAGACTTCTTGGAACTGAAAACCAATAAATTGAAGACATCTCCAATGTGTAACAGATTTTTAAAGTCCAGTTTTGAAAACTTTTGGAGAAAGCAGTCATTTATTACAAAAAAAACCCCAAAACTTTGAAGTGGTTCAAACATAAAAACAAAATGTTAAGAAACTAACACAGGAAAAAAACAGTATGCAGTATTTGAAAACAAGCTTCTGGGGAATTTACCAGCATATGAGAGAGTTACAAAAACAGATCGACTTTGGCTCAGGGCCCTCTCAAATGTGTGACAGGGCTGTTAGCATCTTCTCTGAGATAAATATGAGATAATTTTTGAGAACAAGCTTTCCCAAATTTAGACACCTCTCCTCCTGAGGACAGAAAGCTTTCTTAGCAGCAGTAGGACTCCAGTTATATGGGAGGAAGACTTTCCCATACACACATCGTTAAATGAACGGTACCTTTCCCTTAATAGGAAAAGATCTCCAGTTGTTTTGGAAAGACTGAGGCGGCCCCTGGAAGGACGGGCTCCCTAGCTGTGAGCACGGTGACTACGTGCTTTGCTCTTAGTCAGTCTCCTGAGCTGGAGCAGAGGATGTGGCTGAGGTTGGAGGTGGGGACTGTGTCTGCGTGTGGATGTGTGCATGTGTGTGCTCATTTCCGTTTCCCCTTTTGCGCAGGCAGTTGAATGAGGATAGAGAGAAAGGCGCAGTCCACAACATGATCCTTTCTTGGTGCACTCACCTCTGTCTCCACACCTGGGAGGGCCTCCGCCCGGCTTTGAGAACTGCTTTGCCTCGACAGGTAAGTGCAAATTTTCCCCCAGTTTTAAGGCTCTACTGATTTAGGACGATGCTAGGAGAGAGAAGGAAACAGGTCAGAGAAGAATCAGCCTGCCAAGAAAAGGGAAAAATCAGGAGAAAATCTCCCACCTCGTGGACATCAACCTCAAAAACTTGCATCATTGCACCTATCAGAACGATGAGGCCCCTTTTGTTTCTTTGTTTTCTCCTCCCTAGTACCAGAGAGGTAGATAATCTTGCTAAGGTTGCAAAACATGGGTTCCCTTGATGACTTGAATAAATATTTAGGATTTTTGTTTACCTTTCTCACCTGAGAAGTTTCTCTCTGTGTCTTGCTGAACTCATTGTTGCTGCAATTTCAATCTAATTATTACTTGGAAAAGTTCTCAAGGAAAAAGTTTCCCAGTTTCATTGCAAGTCTAATCTTAGTGTCCATAGCTCCAACTACTGGGAATACTTGGCCTAAATCAATTTTGCTTTCTGTGGGTATGACCTCTATCTTCAAAAGCTGTAGAAGAAAGTTGTTGCCATAAACTGCAGTAAGATACATCAGGGTCAGCTATGAGGGAGGATTTACATAATTGAATGATGCCAGGCCAAATTAACTGGGAGGCTCAAGCTAGACAATCACTTGTCAGGATTGGTTTACAGGCTTCACATCTCAGAGATGGAAAGATGGACATGTTGGCCTCCCTGTGACCTACATCATACTGGGGACATCTGTGCTCCTCCAACACCACTTGTCTCAGTGGTAGCCAGGCTGAGCATGTCACCACCTACATGAGTTTTGGGGACGCTGGAGGGGTGGAAAGATCCTCTATACTGGGGCTTTCCCATAGCTCTGCTATGCTGCTGAGCTCACCAGTGGGTGGAGGAGAAGAGGTGGGTCCCCAGAGCAGAGCAAGGACAAGATCAGAGAGTTCCACAGAAGTGGCTTGACAATACTGTGAAGATTTAGAAGAGATACCCTGTGAAGTACTAGTGACTTTGTCTACCACAAATGGCTCTGAGTAGGAAGGGAAGGGGACTTTCTAGACAGTACAGAGAAGTGCCTAGGATAGGAGCTTGGAGATTGGAGGCTTTCAACTTGTGTGTCCAAGCTTCAGACTCAACAGTTTCTCAGCCTGAGTGGTTAGACATAAAGATCTGATGTGCTCTCTTGCAACATGAAGCATTAGTAGAAAGAGGGGAAGCCAAGTGTATTGTCTATCTCTACTGAGAATATTATCAGAAATAACAAGCTGGAGATATAACAGAAGGATAGGAAGAGACCTAACACACATGATTCTTATTCACATGCACCCCAGAGAGTTTAGAAACTATTTACAACTCTACTGATAACATGTTCTCATACGCTTTTGGGCCTCTGAAAGTTAAGATGGAATCCTGTGATTAAGCATTGTGTAGTGGACATGGAAGCCTAACATAGGCATTCTCAGTTCAAGGTTTATGATTTGGATTCTAATAGAGAATGGAAAGGAAGTTTCAGCTCAGCCTATATCATCACTCACAAGGTGAGTGATGGGCTACTCTGGGCTACAGTAAGGGAAAGAGATCAAACATTGATTTCCATTTAAACTGTTCTGTTTTCTGCCTAAGGGGACAAGGTCAAAGTGGGTGTTCCAGTATCCACAATACTCTGTGCCCAGCCACACCCAGACCTAATCAGCATGGTTGAAGCACAGATTTTGGCTTGAGAATAGAATTCAATCAAATGAGCAGAGAGAGGAGGAGAAGAGTGTGTGCAGACATTGTGAAAGAAAAGGGAGAAAGAATAAAGATGAGTACATTAGGGAAAGAGCCTCATTACCAATGATATAGAACTGAAGAATTAAAGATATGAATTCACGGAGCTAACTCAATGGTCAAGAAATATGCTTACTCTTCCTACTATCTCTAGATGAAACCATATATAAACCAGCCCAGATGAACTATTATTTCTCATTCTTAATGCCTTTATTGTCCTTCTAAATGAAAACATTTGAAGTCTTCCAGCATTGAGAACACAAGACTACTTTTTTTTCCAAATGCACAACTTTAATGTTTCCTGCAGCAGTTTATAAGCTGTCAGTAAAACTCATCCACATCATGAAAGTGGATGTAAGAAAGAAAGGGAAGGAGAGAAAGGAGGTCTTAGATGGTCTTCTTTCAGGATTTATTCTGCTAAACTTTTTTGTGAGAGGAAGCATATGAAAAAGGCAGGGAGAAGGAGTTCTACTGATTAATTGGCATTTTTCTTGCTATTATTTACCAAATAACATCCTCTCTTTTCCCTGAAATAGACAATAGAAGTTCTGGAAATGTTTCCTTAGACAACAGAAATATTGGAATGCTCAAACGTTATATTTGGGGTACTTTTTGTTCTGATGATCTTCCAGATTGCAGTGACATGAAAGAGGGTTGGAAGTTAAGAAGACATTTCTTATCTATGCAGGAATGTGAAAGCCTGTTGCAGGTTGCAGGTATGGAGAATGGAGGACAGTCCACCTGGCTTGAGGTGGAGTTTGTCCAGTCTGCAAACAGAGAAATGTTAGTTGTTCTGGGATTTCCCACAGTCCTTTGCAATGGTAGCAAATTGTATCTTGGCTGTGGATGCAGAAGTCTTGTGGGCCACATCATGGAAACCCCATTTCCTTTTGTTCTCCTCCCACACTGGTTCTCACTCTCAGACCCAATTCTCCAGCATTGTTTGGGGCATAGGTACAATACAGATAGAAGAGAGGAGAGATCTGTCTGATACATGTCCCTACAAGGAGGCCCAGAGCCCTGAAGACAAACCTGTGGCTGGGTCTTAGAAACCAAGAGTAGCAAGAGGAAGGCTGCATAATATAAAGGAAGAAAGCACATATCTGAGACTCAGAACTTGTAAGTTTAAGTCCCATTTACAACCACTAATATTCTTTATGACCCAGACAAGCCTCATTCTCTCTCTCCCTCTCTCTGATTTCCTGAACTACAAAATGAGTGACCAATATTAGATGATCTCTCTGATCCCTTTGGGCATTAGGTAAGAATGCAGGACTTTTCATTGCTTATTTTTCATCTCTGCTTAACAGCAACATTCCTCTTTCACCATCTTCCTTCTTTCCTTATTCCTTAAAATGTTCCAACTCTACTGAGCAGCTTAGATGGAGAGCAGATTAATAGTAATTATACCTATCATTTATTAAGGACCTTCTTAATACATCAGGGACTTAATATACATTACCTGGCTATAACCCCCAGTAACACACGAAGTTTGGTACATCATCTGTTTTGCATATGAAGAAACTCAGGTATAGAGGAGACAAATATTAATAATTTTACCAAGGACACATATGCAGTAAGTAGACATAACTGATTCCAAACAAGGCTTATTCTAATTCCAAGCCCCAAGCTCTTTCTATGATTTTTTGTTCTTATGAGTTTCAAAATAATACTCTGGAATTTAAAGAAAAAGAAACATTGATCATTTTTAACGGACTCCTTAAAAATATCCCCATGGTGAAATATCTGTAAGCAGAACTCATATTTGGCTTATACTTATGAAAATATTAAAATATGTCTATATTAAATTGTAATAAAAATCCATTGTTTCAAGCCTTCTAAGTTCTTCTCACCAATCCAGCTCTCTCAGTTCCTTCCACAAGATTCCCCAGACTAGCCCTCAAAATTCAGTGCCACACCAGCCATGAACTGGACAGGGCCCAACCACAGGGCTGCGACTGGTGTCAGCTCTGATTGGTCTGTGCTGCCCCATAGCCATGGTTAAATGGCCTGAATGCCACAGCAGTTTGAGAGTAATGTGGAATCCCAGGCAGGCTTTCTCCTCTCAACTAGAACCTAGGTAAGCCCTTGTTAAAAGAAAACACTCTGAAGCCTAAGGAAGGCTAAACTGCTTCATAGTCACCTAGTTGGAGTCAAGAAGGAAAACCATGCTAATAGCACAAGCAAAGCAATGCTCCCTTCACCAAGATTGTCACAAAACCAAGTATATGCAGTGGGCTTATGCTGCCTCTTTTCTAAACTAGACTGTGAAATGGAGAGTTTAAAGAGCACGTTAAATTGAGAATTTACTAAAACTGTCTCTCTCTTTTCCTTTCTCCCAAATTTTATTTACTGACAACACTTGGATGGCAATATTGGGCTATTTTCTTATTCTATGAGTCGGTGAAAAGACTATAAAATATGGAGTAAGACCAACTTGAGTTTAAATCTCAACACTACAAACTCCTAAATATGTAAATTTGAGCAAGCCATATATCTCTCAGTATCAGTAAACAATAATTAGCTCAAAAGTGGTTGTCAGGATGAAGTGGAGTAGTTTTCAAGAAGGTCTCATGGATAAATATGTTGCTCTATACACATCAGTTATTATGAGTACCGATTGCTCCAACTTCCCCACGTCAATGTATAGTGAGTCTCTGACTGCCTCCCTTAGAAAACAGAGACTAGAAGTAGGTGATGTTCTCGAAGTAGTAATAATGACATACACTTAAAGGTTTTCTGCTACCACTACAGCTATAGCTTCTGATGATAATTTTTGTTGAAAGATACTCATTTCACAGCTCTTAAGCAAGTGCCTAATCGTAAACCACTAGAGAAGATTTCTCTTATCTAACCTGAATCCTGTCTGCTACAATTTCTGCTTTTAACTATAGCATCCTCAGAACAAGAATTCTCTCCTACTTGTCACAGTCAGATTCCAAAACCCTTGACAGATTGTGGAGAAGGATTTAGGGAATGAACCTCTAGAAAAATGTAGAGATGAACAAAAGACAAGGGGCTAGAAATGGTGACAGAGGGTGAAAATAAGTTTTTGGGTGATTCAGGCAAGAAGTAATAGCACCAGTGTCAAGTTTTTGTTGGATTAGCAGAAAAATTAGAGAAAAAAATATATGCAGGCTTCAGACTCTCATCCTCATAGAGGATAGATTAAGTTATATAACACAAACCAGTATCAAGAAAGATGATGGTCAGATTCCAGAAGGAACTTTTTACTAAGAAATGAATGAAAACTTGGAATGAAAAACTCTGAAAAAAATTTTAATAATAGGACAATTTGATAGTTTAAGTTTCATAAATTTAGTCAGACTTGGATGACCCCTTTGTCATATCAACAAAGGACTGGAGAGACTAGGCACCAAGCATTTTCCTTCTTCACTACAAGCTGTGCAAAATGGATATGTCAGGATCCAAGGCCATGAGGAAAGGCAGGAGCACCTGTCCTGTGACATATACCAGCTGGGATAATAATTTTCCAACACCAAGGTGATCCTTGCTCCTCTGCAGGTATAGCATCTGCTGAGCCGCCTCTTTTGAAAAGCACGGTGCTATGTTCTGTGATGGGGTTTAGGGGAGAAGGTAAAAGGAAGGGTGTGCAGTGGCCAGGGGTTAGCTTTTTACTCTCTTGTTGAGTATGTGCAGGTATGTGTGATCGTCACTAGAAATGGTTCAGAGAAAGGAGATGACTTGAGTAGGCCTTTAAAGGGTAGATAGAATTTGTTTAGGTGGAGAGGAAGGTAGGCGAAACCGTAAGCTCAAGCAAAGAAGCAGAACATTTCAAGCAGTGCTGGGCAATGAGCAATACCTGACGGACTCCTCTCACCCGGTTCCTCTACAGCCCCCCTCATCCAGGCCCACCACGTTCCTGGATCAGTGAAAGCTGCAAGTCCAGGAACTCGGTAAGTCAGTGTTCGTTTGAAAGGGAATTTGCTAAGTGGGAAGTAACTCCAGAGACCATGGGACTATTTCTTAATTTTTATAGGAAAAACTATATAAATGCATTTTCTTTTACAGGTACTATTCCTATATATATTTCAAACTCAGCTAAAAGGTATAAAAATAAATTCATAAACATTGGCATTGAATGTAAATTTATGCCATATTGAATCTCACCAATTCATTTTCTAGAGGATAAAAGGGATGCCCAAATAAAAAACCTAGTTGATTTACCAGAAGTCAATTAATTGGACAAAAAGTTTGTAAGAATATCCAATCTCCTGATTTCTAGGCAGTACTCTTTTCACAGCATCAACCTCCATTGTATTATAGGCCTATGTTTCTGTATAACTTATTTGAAGGAAACATTCCATGCCTTTCTCTCTATTGCAAGGCACCCCAAGACCTACGAAGCTGCTATCTTGACATCTGTGCGTACCCGTCCTTCAATTCTCTCTAACATACTCTTTGCTGATGTACTTGCCTGATAATTGTTTGCTGCTTCCTGCAGATTTCCACAAAAATATACCCAGTTTCTTATCTCCTGGCAGTAAGGCTTCCTTCTGTGACCACTAACCAGATACTTCTATTTCTCCCTGCCTCCTAATATTGCTGTACATAACACCCCATGAAAAGGTCTCTACAACCCCAGTGTGTCAGAGGTTGGGGAAAATTTATTTCTTCAACTCCCCAGTCCCATCTCCAGTATGCCACAGTTGTGAAGATTAGCTTAAATCCACTTTATATCTTTTCTCTCACACGTGAAGTCATTGTTGCTTTTTTTCTTTTCTTTTTTTGGAGAGAAGGTCTTGCTCTGTCGCCCAGGCTAGAGTATAGTTAGTGGCATCAACATAGCTTGCTGCAACCTCAAACTCCTGGATTCAAGCGATCCTTCTGCCTAAGCCTCCTAAAATGCTAGGATTACAGGCATGAGCCACTGCATCAGGTCCCACTGTTGCTTTTCCAAGTAAAGAAATTATTCCATTTTCACCCAAATTGCCCAGAAAATGGTTGTCATCCTCAATGAACACTTAACCTGCCTAGCCTTTTTGTTGCCATAACTGTAATAGCCATTTATTTGTAAGCTTTCTTTTGAACTCCAACCATTAAGGATTTTGTTTTTGTAGCCCTTTTCCTTTAGGTGCTTACGTCAAGTAAAACCTCTGCACGTAAGGACACAGAGACAGACAGCAAATAGGAATAATGAGGAAACTGTAACTTCTGCTGTCAATCATCGAAACTCCTAGAGTAAAAACAAGTCATAGAATAACCCTCTCTCTTCTCTCCAATTTTCAGCCTAACACATTTTTACTTGCTTAGCAAGCACATATTAAACCCTTATTATTACAGTGTTGAAGCTGATCTCCCTGCACGCGTCTCTCTGTGATGGCTCTGTAAGGCACAGGGCTCCTGTTAGGAACAGTCACCTACTAAACATTCATTTATTTAGAGAATAAACATTCTGCTAAGTGATTACAATTGTAACATTTTGTTTTAGGCATTAGGAACACAGCAGTGAACATTCCAGACAAAAATCTCTGTCCTCTTGGAGCCTACATTCTCATCTAATCTAAACAATAAATTAGGTAAATAATTAAAATATAAAGTGTGTCAGTGAGAAGCACTAAGAGAAAAAAAGTCAAGCAGGGAAGAATGTCAGTGAAAGTGGTTAAGATAGGCTGCAGAAGCCAGGCCCGGCTTCATGGAGGAAGTTGGTGAAGAGCTGGACTTTGCAGGTTGAGTGTGACAAAGACTGAAGGAGAGGAGGGGACGAGAGTGGGGAGAAGAGTGTGAGAAAACTTGAGGCTAAAAAGGAGGAAAGCACTTTCAGGGGGTGGAGACAAAATTAGCCTACATGGCTGTGATATATTTTCAAAGTTGTGGGAGGAATATAAAATATATTCATATCACAGAGGACATTGAAACCCTCTACCTGCATCTCAGTTGGTGAGATTTTGGCTCCCTGTGCTAGGCATTATGGGGACCCAGCTCTATGGCACATCCAGAAGTTTGTAGTATTAGAAGAATCAAATGTAGGGCTGTAATGTCCCCATTGACAAACTGAGACCAGCGAAAGTGATTGAATTTTCCAAGGTTATACCATTAATAAGTAACAGAGTGAAGTGTGGGAATCAGATATTTTTCCCTCCCTCCCTCTTTCCCTTCCTCCCTTCCTCCCTTTCTTCCTTCCAGCCCTCCTGCCCTCCTGCCTTCCTTTTGAGTTCTCTTAACCACCAGAATATGTTCTCATGAGCTGAAGAATCCTTGTGACTTAGGTGGTGTCCATTTCCTTTGGGAATTAAAGACAATAGGCAAGTCAGCCTTCGACATTTTCTTCTTTGGGCTGACTAGAACCAACCTACTAAATATTTTGGAACACAGGACTAGGTAAACAAACTCTGATCAAGGCATTCTAGACATTTCTCCTAAGTTCTATCTAGTGGCAGCTTCATATCCTTTTTTATCACATCACTACAGCTCTACCCAAAGGACAGAAAGTCATTCTGCTACCCCTCTTTGTGGCTTCTTTATGAATTCAGTGATTTAATTTCACCTAAAAGAAATAAGCAGTGGGCAAAGGGCCAGGACTCAGGGTTAACAAGCAAAGTTTCATAGTGCTAACTGCTGTCTTGCCTGGGAGAAAAATATGGCTTGAATTGGGCCTGCAGTAAAAGAATTTATATCAGACAACAGTAAATATGATTATCTTTCTGTGGATGTTTTGTCTGTTGCAAGCTGAAGCATCTAAAACAATTTTATTGCCCTAGGAATGCATTTTATGTTCAGGATGTTCTTTTTAAAAATAGCTATTTTAGTGCCTAAATTGTTGAATGACTCACTAATGGTTTTGTTTTTAAGTGTTAGAAGAACAGAAGTCTCTGGAAACTGGCACTTTTCTTATTTTTTTTTCTTTTTATTTCCCCTTATTCTGACAGTTAAAAGTGTAGCTCTGAAGATGAAGCCTTTTATGGCAGCTCGAGGGAGTAGAGGGATAAGACAGTGAGAGTCATAGTTCCACTCCTACTTACTCAGCATGGTGGGATGTGAGTGTGGCCGGCGGGGAAGAGCTAGCAAGACAGACTATGAGCAATGAACAAACATTAACCTCAAGCCTTTTTAAGCTCTATCTGGACAATTGAATGATTCTTCCCCTCTTTGTTCCTCTTTGAATATGTGCCTAGTATATATGGCTAGTGCCATCATTATATGTCTTTTGGAAGCATACAGAGGTGTGGTTTAGACAGTGTTAGATGAAATATAAATTTATAGGATCAGTAATTGCATTGATGAACTCAGTAATGAACTCATGTGGAAACATGAATTGACAAATTAGAAAGTGATCCTCTGGAAGGTGTTGGCTGCTAATTGCTCAAGGCAGTTTATTTTTTATTTATCATAAAATTTTTTTTTCTGAGAAATTCTATGTGGATCCCTAATACATAAAAAAGAAAACAAAGCAAATCAATAAGCAGAACCAAACAGAACCTAAAATTATGGTAACTGAAGTGACATCTGATTGTGGGACCTTAGAAAAGCTATTTAACCTTTGAGATCTTAAACTTTTTCATATATCATGATGAGGATAAAATAAAGTGAATTTTATAAATTATAAATTTAAAGATATTGTAGTTGTAATGGAAAATCCTAGGAGACAAAATCCTTAAAGATTAAGGAGAAATGTTTTCTAATATAGCATTTCAGCTACCATGAGAAGTAGAGATTCTTTAAATCAGAAGAGCTTTCTCAATGTCCCTTAAATCATATAATGTTTGAAGCTTTCGGACTTACTGGTTTTAAAGACTTGCTGTGCTGTTTAGATTTTTCAGAGCATTTCCTTTCTAGGGGGAAGACAGAGATGGGCTGGGCATCTCCTCCTAGCTCTTGAGTGGGCAGAGAGGTCAAGCTCCTTTGTGGAGAGATAAGAAGACTTGGTGGGGAGTGAGGGGCAAGCCTGAATGTGGTGGTTTCTGAGCAGAGGATGAGGGAGAATCAACCATTTCTTTCAACTCTCAGAAGAGCATCACTGAGGCAGGAGGCCCTGGAGTCTGCGCCAGGGCCATGGAGGCCTCGGTGCTGAGCCCCACGTCCTGGGAGAAACGGCGGGCCTGGCTCCGTCAGAGCCGCAACTGGCAGACCCAGGTCCTGGAAGAGGAGGCTGCAGCCGCCCTGCAGGATGTCACAGATCCTGAGCCTTCCAGCCTGGATGACGTTTTCCAAGAAGGTAAGAGACTGTTAGACATCAGACAGATGCCTAGGCTGTCTTGCAGAATGAGACAGCAGGCACAGGTCTGCAAAGTACAGAGTGTGCACAGTGGGGCCCTTGTTTGGCTGGGCCCTCAGAGAGGCTCATTTTGACTGCTTTAAATGAGTTTAAGGGAGGAGACAAAAGTAATACAAGACATGAATTATGTGAGAAAAAGACAGGCATAAAATTAAGGGAAAGAAAGGGGCATATTTTTGTACCATCCCGAGACATTTCTTTAAGAACCCCGGGCTAGGGGCTCCCTATGAATGCTTTAGGGTGTTACTATGCTGTATGTGTAACAAGATTATCCTCAAGCTGGATGCCTAGGCTGTGGCCATAAGGCTGTCACTAGCAAGCTGCATGACCTTTGAGAGTCACTCACCTCCCCAAGACACATTTGTCCGATGAAGTAGTAGGACCTTTCCTACACTCTTCTCAGAGCTTCTCTAAGGTTCAGTCGAGACCACTGACATAGGAGTAAAACAAAAATTCTAATAGAAATAAACCCATCCTTGCTTCTTTGGTAGGTAACAAAAAGCACCAACACAAGATTGGGCCTTTTTATTTATTTATTTGATTTTTTTTTTTTTTTCAAAGGAGAAGGATCACACTATTCCCAAAACTTAGGGAAAAGAGAGCTGGGGCCTAACATCTTAGAGACTTTCCAGGTTCCTGGGAGGAAGGGAGAAAGGAGGGAGAGAGAAAAGAAATATCCACTATTGTTTACATTGTATATGGGTATATTCCTCTCATATCTTAAAGAGAAGTTTTATGGGTGAAGAAAGACTCATGGTGTACCTTATACAAGAATACACTTATGGAATGGGATTCATTGCAGGCAAGAGGTCTGTTTCCTTCAGTTCTCACAGTGATCTGGTGTCTGACTTTTCTAGGGAATCCAATCAATAAGATTGAAGACTGGCTACAGGACTGTGGGTAAGTGCTGGACAAGCAATGGGACTGGGTGTGGCTGGTGGCTGGACATGCTAACAGACACAGATCCAGGGAACTCAGATCCAGGGAGATCAGGCTTGAATTGGGCCAAAAGATTAGAAGTGGGTTGAGATGGTGGTTGGCAGGGGGGTGGAAGGTGTCTGGAGTGAGCTGGTAATCAGAGTTGCGAATCAAGTGCAACTCCGAGCTGAGGCTAAGTTAGACTGGAGGTCTGGGCGTATAGACTGGATCTGGTCTGAATCTAAGAATGGGTGGAAATCCATATCTATGGGGAATGGCTGGGCTCAGTTCCAGATCCCTGTCTGAGGCTTTCCCATTCAGACTGGAGTGTTACATTGTGTAACAGAAGAAGAGGAGTTAGAAACCTGAGCATTCTCACTGAAGTGCAGTTCATCACTGTGTTGTTTGTTTCTACTGCAGAATACGGGAGGGGCTCAGGGCTTACCACAGTCATTCAAAGCAATAGAGAACTGGAGCAGCACTTGAGAGCAAAGCATCATCTCTTTCCTCAGAAACACTTTAAATTATGAGACTCCACGCCAACAGCCTATCCCATTTTGCTCTCAGTCTGCCCAGACACAAAGGGAAGGCTTCAGTGGCCTATTTAAGCCTAATTATTTGTGTGACAATGAATACTCAGAATGTATAACTCCTGCCTGCCTGCTTATTTTCCTTCCAGGAATGTCTCAAGCTTTATATAGTCTTTAATCTAAACTCGATTATTAACTGACATAAATAAACCCATTGTTGCCTATTTGGTAGAGAATAAATAGCACTGAATAAATAGCACTAGGAAGGCAATGCCAGGACGCAGTTATTTTGTGTTTGTGTTTGTTTTGTTGTTTAAAAAATATATTGTCCTAATGTTATTCACAATTCTTTCAACTCAAAGTCAATAGATGGTTCTCAAAATACAGAAAGAAAAGGGATGGTAATAGAAATATTTGCAGGTTTCTGTGAGAAACCTAGGATGAGAACTGTCCTAGGAAAGTTCTTGAAAATGCTTTATTGGACATGTACAGAAGAAAGAGTTGGCTCACTTAATGTCTTTTTCTCATTAACTACTCTTGAATGTTACCAATTCACATCAACAATTACCAATTGCTCATTTGCTGTCTCATTCTCTGAACAACCTAGAAAGATGATAAGTAGTTTAAAATGTGCCTCTTGAGTACAAACATACTGCATTCTAATTGAAAAGAATAAATTCATAGAAATATAAGATTATAAACTCTAGAAATCACCTCCCCACCCCATGCTCTATAAAGATAAACTTTGAACTGAAACTTATGATGAAAAGGTTATAGGGTGAGTGAAAAGACTCCAAGATTTGAGCCTACTTCTTGTGCCTATGTAACCAACTTTAAGCAAATAATTGAAATTATTTCCATTACAGACTCCTGATCTATAAAATGAAAGACTAGAATAATAAATTTCACAAATGTCTTGTGAAGTGTTTGAGAGATATGTGTGTATGTGTTTTATGCTCTGTAATAATGTGTTAGTGGTGAGGTTTGTAAAGGAGGAGCTTTATGTCTGCTTATAATTACACAAAATAAGTCTGCTTGTCTATCTATCTACCTATCTACTTCATTTATCAGGAAAAAAGATACATACCAACTCTTATATTAGTTACCTCTGGGAAGGAAAACAGTAGGAAAAAATGTTGTTGAAGCTGCAAGGGAGTTTCAGCTTCAGTCCAGCTGCTCATCACACAAATATCTAATTATTGAGACAACGAAGATTGCCAAGGAAGAATGGAATTTTTAATATGTCATATGTCTTGTTGGGAGAACAAGAGAAGCTGCCTCAAATCCAATCCATATCTCTAACTAATCTAAAGATCACGGGCTTTTAAAGGAAGGGCCAGGGTTGTGGTTTAACTAACAAGGTGTTAGTGCATTGGGGGCAGATTGGAGGGATGGTGAATCTTGGCATCAGGAAGTCTGCCCAGAGGACTTCAGAATCTCAGCTCCTTTGTCTTACAGAAAATTCACCATTTCTGGGAAACAACTCAAAAGGTCAAGTAGTTAATTAAGAGAGAGGATTATAAAAAAAATATAGGGGTCATTGAAATTTGTTCATGAGGCCAATTACAAGAATAGAAGTAAAATAAGACTTTAGTTATGTATTTAATATTTTATTTCTTTTTTATTGTTTTATATGACATATTTTTTAATATTTTATTTCTTTCTGAAGCAAATATGGCAAAATGTCTACATGTGTGAAAATAGGGTGACAGGTACAAGGGCTTCTGCTGTATTTTCTTTACTTATCTGTGTTTTGAAAAAATTTCAAGTATTTAAACTTCAAGAGGTCATTAGAAAGTTTATTAACATGCATCTGTCTCTGAAGGGGAATTGTTAGATTAAGAAAATATTTCCAATTTTTTCTATTTTCTAATTCTCTCTAGTAAGATATAATACTTTTTGATTATAAGGGAAAACCAGAAAAAAATTAAAGGATAACACTGATGATGCTTGATGATAGAATACACTTGACTTTTTTTTATATATATATTTTTTTATTTCGGCATATTATGGGGGTACAGATTTTAAGGTTTCAATAAATGCCCATTTCCCCCCCTCCCCCAAAAGTCTGAGTCTCCATCATGACCATCCCCCAGATGGTGCACATCTCACTCATTATGTATGTATATACCCACCCCCCTCCCCCCCCACCTGCCCAATACCCTATTACTGTAGTACCTATGTGTCCACTTAGGTGCTACTCAGTTAATACCAGCTTGCTGGAGAATATATCTGGTGCTTGTTTTTCCATTCTTGGGATACTTCACTTAGTAGTATGGGTTCCAGCTCTAACCAGGAAAATATAAGATGTGCTATATCACCGTTGTTTCTTAGAGCTGAATAGTACTCCATGGTATACATATACCACATTTTATTAATCCATTCTTGGATTGATGGGCACTTGGGCTGTTTCCACAGCCTTGCAATTATGAATTATGCTGCTATAAACATTTGAGTGCAGGTGTCTTTTTTGTAGAGTGTCATTGGATCATTTGGGTAGATGCCCAGCAATGGGATTACACTTGACTTTTGATAATAGAAAATGAATAACATAAAGGAAAAACAACACATTCTAAGATGACATTCTGAGTTACAACAGTCTTCAGTTCTTAGGGTGCCAAGACCATAGAGGAAAGAGGATGAACAAGAAATTCACATTTTCTGGTTGTCCATCCACTCTGTTGTCAGGTGGCCTAAGAGACACTTGTCAAATTTTGTTTCAATACCATATAGTTTCCACTTTATGATGTCAAACACCCTCCAGTAGCCAGAAGATTTTCTGTTCTGATAAGTTCTCCAAGAAAGTCTACCAACATCTTGGGCAATTTAATGTCAATGTCTCTCAGTGTCTAATCTGCTATAGGATTAGATCATGCACGCCTTTACAAACTATGCCTCTCCTGTTTCCTTTCTTCCTCTAAGCTCTCAGGGGATTTTTCAGGACATAAATATGTTGCTCATGAATCATCAGAGGTGGATTTGAAAGCTCTAAAGTCATCTTTGTGGACTTCAGCTTAAATCTCTGTGGGCAGGCATTAATGGAATCTGCTACAAGCAGCTAAAAATGGCCACATGCTGCTTCTCACAGTCCAACCCCCTCCCTACTATTTGTTTATAAATTTGTTATACAAGAGGAACAACACCTTAGCTCTTTGGTTACAGACTTGAAATGATGCTAAGGGACCTTTCAGTGTATGAGAAGAAGGGAACAGCTATAAATCTAGTTCCTAGTTATTGAGTCTATGGCTTATGCAATAACCAGTGAATGGCCTGGGACTTGGGTGCTTGGGTGATGGCCGTGAAGTTTCAAGTTTCAAATCATCATGCACTGTGAGAAGTCATCAATAGATGCAGGCCCATGTCCAGACTGTGATGGTAGTTCCCACATACACATAGAAAAGCCTGCTGCCCCAAAGCTTATCCTGGGCTGGTCCTGTAAAAGAAAATAGAGGCCAGGTGTGGTGACTCACATCTGTAATCCTAGCATTCTAGGAGGTCAAGGCAGGAGAATGGCTTGAGGTCAGAAGTTTGAGACCAGCCTGAGCAAGAGCAAGACCCCATCTCTACCAAAAATACGAAAAATTAGCCAGGTGTCATGGCTTGCACCTGTAGTCCCAGCTACTTGGGAGGCTGAAGCAGGAGGATCACCTGAGTCCAGGAGTTGGAGGTTGCAGTGAGCTACAATGATGCCACTGCACTCTACCCAGGGCGAGAGTGAGATTCTGTCTCAAAAAAATAAATAAATAAAATAGAAATACCTGGCAGGACACAACTAGAAAAGAGAAATGTGGCATGAGCACCCAAAACAAATTTGTGTCTAATGAATAGCAGTGAGTTTTACTTTGGACTAATAAGGAATCTTATCAGCGATTTTTCACATAAATTTTATGTAAGTATAGCATACATACTGGTAGCATTTTTCTATTCAAGATAAATTGTACGTAAGTATAATATACTTAATGAAAAATAAATGACTGTTAAATACATAGCTCAATGAATTTTCACACAGGGAATAAACCCATGAAACCTGAAGCAAACCATTGCCAGCACTCCATAAGCCCCCATTCTGGCCCATTGCATTCACTACTCTGCTTCCAAGAGTAACCAATACCCTGACTTGCAGCATCATAATGAAGTTTGGGATTCCTTTGAACTTTATATAAACAGAATCATACAATATAGAGTGTTTTATGTGCATTTCTTTTGCTTAGCATCGTGTTTGTGATGTTCATTCATGTCCTTGCATGCAGCAGGTCATTCTTTTTTATTGTCATGTAGTATTGTACAATTATCATACAATTTTTCCATTCTACAATAAATGGAGATCTAGAGTTTGGCTTCTATATCTGGGTTATCATAACTAGCATTTCTTTTAGAGAAGATATACAGGCATTTGCATTAGGTACAACCTAGAGATGGAATAGTAGCATGTTTTAAGAATACGTCTAGTAATAGTAGGCCTTCATAGTTGTATTACTGTGTAGCTACAACACAAGCTTTAAATGCAGTAGTAAATCCCAATGTTCTAGTAGTTGACTACGTTAGTTATCATAGTATTTTTATCAGTAATAATAAATACTAATTTCTATTAACATTTTAATATTATATATTAACATATATATTCATAGTATTATAACATATTTAATGTAATTATATATTAGGTACAGAAGTATTCTAGTTGTATTGTCAGAGTTACCCATTCTTAATTAGCTTGGATATCGTTTCGTGATAAACCTTACTGTACCATCTTTTTCCATTAGTACATATAAAAATTTAGATTTTGGAAAACAAGGTTGGTTTTTTCACTATCAAAAGGAAGGTACCAGCAAAAGATATGTATACATGTAATCATTTATTTTATAAAATTTAGGCACAATTTTATCTACAGATGTTCAATTTATAAGCCTATTCCCATTACTAAACATTTCATGAAGTGATGTTTCAATAACCTGAGAATTGTCTGAATCACTTGAGACAGATAAAGAAGAAGGATTCTTTAGGACCAGCACCCAACGGATGCACTTTGATTTCCTTGCTAACTCACTTTTCCAACCCTTCTCCCCTCCAGCCTCTACTTGAGATTACATTTAAAGCATCATGTACAATTTTCATTTAAAAACTTTTATGAAAGTAATCGCTAAAAAATTCACAACATATCACTGCTCGAGGTGGACTTAGATAATGATAATATCTAGGGATCCAAATCCCTGTACATAGTATTTGAGAACTAAGAGCCACAGTGAGCCAGGACTGGAATGAAGATGTCCTGCTCCCAGTTCAAAGCTTTTTCACAGAATACTTCACTCACCTGTTTTGGCCAGAGAAAATGCATTCTTTGTTTATAAAACTGAGTTGTCTCTCACTACCATTTATGCTGATTTCCGTTTGTTCTTCTGGTGGAGATGGTAAATGTTTGATAAGACCATATCTCAAAATTTTAAAATATCTGTAACCAGAATGCAATTTCTGCTGTTTCCTGAAAGACATGATATTCAGCAAGAACATGGTTCAGAGAGAAGAAAGGGGATGTGGGGAGATAATGTGACCTCCTAAAAATTGTAAGAAAACCTAGATGTTTAGAATTTATGGTACCCATGCCCCTGTTTCTATAAATGTATTTCTCCAGTTTTGCTTCTATACTCTTTCTTTTCTGTTTTACCTAAAGACTAAAGAATTATTGTTAAGTTGACTTTAGATGATGTGGCCAGGACACCAGTAGCATGATCTAAAATATGGTACATTCCAATCCCACTCCCCTGACTACATCTATGAATTCGTCAGTGAAGTAACTACTCTCACTTAGTTTTATCCAATATATAAGCAAATTAAATACTACTGACTCACATTGGAAAATAATATGAACATGTGGGAGATATCTGATGAAAGGCCTATGGGAAAATGTAGTGACTTCAAACTATAAGATTGTCTTGGGGTTTTAGATACTCTGAAGAAGGACTTTCTGAGGAATCAGGACAGTCGATCTACAATAGTGAGTATAGGTTCTGTTCTTCTGTTGCTCTTCTACTTGGAGAATGACAGCTGTGTGTGTGTGTATGTTTATGCACATGCACGTGCATATGCATAAGAGTGCTTGAGTGTTTTTAAACTGTCTGCAAAACACCCTTTAGTGGTCACAAGGCAGTCCAGAAAATCCAGAAGAAAAGTGCTGGCTCAGAGCCCACAAATATTCTAAGCTTATCATCTGCTAGTGGTTGCTCCGCTACTATAGTAGCCACTGCTATGGGAACAGAACTTTAAAAAATGTGTGTGTTTATATGTGTATATTTGTGTGTGTGAGTACACACCCCTATGTGTTTACTATTTGGCAGAGGATTGTATACATGGCTATGTGACATGGGGGCAGGTTAGCTATAGGTGAGTGTGATATATGTGTGATTATGTTTATAAATGTGATTTCTGAGGTGGTATATGTGTAGTTGGGGGTAGTTTTGCAAACATGGATATCTCATATGATTGTGTGGTTGTTCAGGGGCACATGTAGATGTTCATGTATTGGAGGGGGAGGGTGTACATGTGTGTATGTTCGAGTCTGATTTTCTGTGACCTTCACTTGGTTATTTGACAGAGTGCTCCAGCCATGGGACCAGCTTTGAAGATGACTTGACCCTTGGAGCAGAGGGTGAGTGGCACAGTTCTCTGAGGTTGGGCTGAGGGAAAAAGATATACATTTGACAAATTAAGGCTAGGATGGAAGAGGAAAATTTCAGAAACAAACAGCCCATCCCTGGGATCTTATCTATAGGAACAGAGCAGTCTCATTATGATGTACTGTAAAACACAGAAAGCATCACATGCCCAGAAACGTTTTTTCAACAACTTATGGTAACTTTCACTGATCCACCACTGGAATTTTCCTTTAGCCCCTGGGAAGGTGATAACATATAAAAACACCATAACATTTGTTGCCCAAACACCTTTGAGACTGTTTTCTATATAGAGAGCCCAAAGAAGTCTGAGTACTGGGCGTAAGAGAGAAACTGCACTGCTTAAGGGCTTCAATAAAGGGTGGAGACACAGCAACCTACCTACCAGTGTCTCCTGGGCCTGTGAAGACGGTGATGTGTCGGGAGCACAGGCCTGAAGGACTGGATGGCTCCACCCTCCTCAGGACAGATGGGCTCTTGCCTGGACACCAGTCATGGGTCAAAAGTTCAGCAGCACAAGGCCAGTCGTTCCCTACCATATCTGTCCCTACTCCAGGGCTATGCTTGATTATCTTGAGACTCCATTTAAGAGCAGAGTTCATGGAGTTCAGCTAGCCTGTGGCAGAGGGAACGAGGAGGCTGAGTTTCAAGTTCAGAGGAGCAACTTCAGTGATTTTCATTTTCCCTTCTAACTTGCTCTTTGTCTTTCTATTCCTTGTCCAGCCACGCTGCTGGCCGCCAATGGCAAACTCTTCTCCAGGTAAGTGTTAGGTTCAGCCAGGATGGAGCCAGAGTGAAGTGGGGTAGGTTTCAGAGTCAAAGAGATTAAAAACAAAAAGTTAAAGATTCACAATAGAGTGTGAGATTTTCCAACCAGCAATGAGGGCACAGACTGTTTCCTCTGTAGGTGATTCATAGGTGCCAGAAGAGGGTGAATATGCCCAGCAGGGATGCCTTGCAGCCAGGGTGCAGACTGGGAAATGATTTATATGACACCCACTTTGGTCTCTACAGGAGTTTCCTTAACACAGGCAGGCCTTGCCAGCTACTTGATCTCGGCTGTAGTTTGGCTTCCAGCAGCATGACTGGGGGAACCAACAAGACTAGTTCAAGGTAGGTACTCATTTCGGCAGGGTGGGAGCATGAGGAAGATGAGAAGCAAGGAGAAAGGAACCCATAGTGCACTGCCAGAGGGGAATGGAACCGCTAGTGTACCTCTCAAAACCAGATTTTGAATGTCCTTATTGACTCATTTTTACCTTCAGGGTAAAAACTTTTACCTTCAGAGTTCTATGATCCCTCCACACTTATTGCTTAGTTGTCCCACTCAATCACAAGTTGGTTGGCAAGTTGCAAAGCACCTGGCAAAAAGCAGATTCACCATAGCAAATGCAAGTGGAAACTAAGTAGTTAATAACACAACCATACAATTTCTTTGCATTTATACTGCTTTTCACTTTTCAAAACCCTTTCATATTTGCTTCAATTTTTATTCATCTGCAATAAGTAGTTCAATGTACTGTGCTACAATTTTATTCAGTTTTTATAACTAGGGCTGTAATTTCCATGTTTCAGACACAGAATTTAGGTTCAGAGAAGTGAAAGCTTTTCTCAAAAGCTTTTCACAGTGCAAGGCAGAGAAATGACCAGAAAGGAATTTTGATCTCTTGAGAGTTTTAGTTCTGTATTATCATATGTCTCAACATTGTCACCTGTTTATGGAAACTGACTCTTTTCAGCATCTCAGAGATTCTGGACAAGGTGCAAGAAGATGCTGAAGATGTCCTCTTCAGTCTGGGCTTTGGCCAAGAAGACCAAAAAGACACTTCTCGGATCCCTGCCCGATTCTTCACCGCCCCCTCTCAGGCCAAGGGCATTGACTTCCAGCTCTTCCTGAAGGCTCAGGTGCGGAGGATCGAGATGGAGGACCCCTGCCTCATGCTGGCCAGTGAGTGTCACCACAGACACCCGCTCTTCCTCTCCGGAGCATCACAACAGGGTTCAGTGGCTCAACATCCCCCTTTCTCTCACTTAGCATCACTTCGCCCTTTTCTCTTGTGTCCATTTCCTCTTATGTTGTCTTAAGTGACGATGGAGAATGCTGATGTCACTTCTTTCTCTTAAAGAAACAGTCTTCAAGAGACCTCAGACCTAGTGCTTCCTTCAGGTCTTCTCTGCTTTAGCTGAATCAAATCAAAACAGTGTCTTTAAATCTTATCCCTGTTTTCTATTTCCAAGTTGGAATATGGGATGGGAAGTCAAGGAAATCAAGAAAAGGGTCCCTGAGTGTCAAAAATCTAAATGGGAGAAACACTAGTAGGGAAATTATCACCTTCCCTCTGAATTTTGTGCTTTGGGGAGGCTTTTGACAGGAGAGATTTAAAAGGCAATTTTCTAATGAGCCCCAGACTCACCATCTTCAACCCTTGTACCCAGGCAGGTTTAAGCAGGTACAGACACTGGCTGTCACTGCTGATGCCTTCTTCTGTCTCTACTCCTATGTGTCTAAGACACCTGTCCAAAAGTTCACACCATCCCACATGTTATGGAATTACAACCCAACTGATGTGCCATCCATCAGGATTCTGGCCCCAGAGCCCGAACCCCACTCACCCAGAGAGCGTCTCCGGAAAGCCATCTCCAAGATGTGCCTGTACACATGCCCCAGAGGTCGGCTATCACCACCCTACAACACTCCCAAAAGGAACAGTTTGGACCAAGTGGTGTGGGAAGTAATGGACAGAGTGAGAGGTGAAAAGCTCATCGTCCAGCAAGACTCTGAGTTTGGGCAAGGCAAAACGGAAGATCCTATGAACCCTATTAGGGGTACAAATCTGCCCACTTCTCCCTGTCCATGTGCCCTCTGCTCTATAGAGGAAACACAGCAGGGGGTGTTCACAGTGCTACCATCTTCACAAACTCTGAATTCTAATTCCAAGGTACCCCATTACATACGTTCTCCGCCCACAGCAGATCCACAGTGGAGCACAGACTCTGCACAGGTAAGAAGAGAGCTGTGGAGTCTGCAGGCCACCAATAAGGAAGTCCATTCAGCCAAGGATGAGACTTTCTGGAAAATAAAGAGCAGAGCAAGAAAGAGCCTGTTTCAGAAGAAGTCCATGGTCAGGAAGGTTAAGTCACTTGACCTGTCCATCATCCAGCAGAAGTGGAAGCAGAGCACAGACAGACCAGAACTGCATCAATCTTTAACCCAGCAGTGGCAGGACACTTTTGACTGGGAGGAGGTGAGTGAGTTAGAAGTGATGGAAAGTCTGGCAGAGAAAAGCTATAGATTCTTTCCCAGATGAGGAAGAGTTAGGACCTCTGGGCAAAGGAAATCCAGGTTCCCTGTCCTCACCAGATACATCACTTTTTGAAATAAATTCAGCAACTTTTGGTAGTGGATTAATGTAGAGGCAGAAAGAGAAATGGCCCAACTTCCTTAAAAGCAGTCAGGTTTTCAGAGCTGCTTTTGTAATACTTACCTGATCTGATCTCCATTGAAGGTTCACTAAGCATATCCACCCCTACTATTTGCAGGGATCCTCAAAAGAGTACAAATGGAGGTCAGTTTTACACAAAGCTAAATGCCATTAGATAAAATGTTTTCTCCAACCCTTGACAAATATGTAATCATAAAGACCTGGAAGAGCAGGGTCCATCTGGAATTCTCAGACGCTTAGGACTTCTGTGCTAGAACATGGCAGTGTGGGGCAGAGCTATTCCCCAGCTCTGGGCAAGAATCTATAGCTTTTCTCTGTCCCCTTCTCTTCCCATGCCCATATCTGTCCTGTGCCTTAAGGGATCTTGCACTCCCATGTGTGGGCACCCCAGCCTGCACTTCCAAATGCCACAAGCTCCTACCCACACAGCCAGCCAGCCATTGGTCACTATTCAGGCTCAGAGCTGTGTACACTAGTGGAGAGCTCAGCCCTCTACAGAACAGACATCAGGCAAAACCAATGCAAGTCCCTGCAACAGGCTTGGGGCCATTTGACCAGCAGATTTTGCAATTCTGGGTAACAGAGCATATTATAGAAGAGACATTGCAGGGCCCAGGTGGGCACATCCTCTGAGTCCACCAACTCTTTGCTGTGTGGACCCTCTAAAATTCAGGACTCCTCTTGCCTGGGTCTATGGAAGGTACTACTGTCAAATGTTGGGATCTCTCAAAAAAGCTTCCAAATCCTTGCCACAAGGAGATGTGATTATTTGCAATACCATTGGCGTGTGTGTCACCTGTCATGGAATGTGGAGCTGCATGTCAGCTTCTGCCTTTCTCACTGTTGTGTCCCTGACATGACAGAAGAGGCCGAGTCTCCCAAGTACACTCAACCTCTTCCCCTACAGCTACCTGCCACCACGCACCTTTCCTTGCTCCCTGCCCCACTGGCTCTGACTGAGTTCTGTGGGATCTTGTTTACAGGTGCAGAGCCACAGTGAAGAGGAGCAGAGCCTCTGGCCAAGCAGACCCACACCCCCCCACTGCTATCAGGCATTTGCTGGCCAAGATTCATGAAGTAAGTGGGCGTGTCTTCAAGCAGTGATTCTCAAACCTGGGTGCACATTATAATTACCTGGGGAGATTTTTAAAAAAATACCCATGATAAAGGGTCCCACATCCTATAATTCTGATTTATTTGGTATGGCATGATAACCAGTGACTGATTTTTTAAGCTCCCCAGGTGATTCTATTATGACTGGGAAACACTTCTCTAGACCAGTGGTGCTCAGATAAGCATCACAATCACTTGGAGGGCTTGTTAAAATAAAACGAATCCCAGAGTTTCTGACTGAGTAGGTCTGGATAGGGCCCAAATATTTGCATTTCTAACAAGTTTCCAGGTGATGTTGATGCTGCCAGTCTGGTGATCACAGTCTGAGAACTGCTGTCATAGAAGAAATTCTGCGGAACCTTAATATTCAAAGTATAGTCTAGACCAGTAATATTAGCATCACCTGGATTTTGTTAGAAATGCACTCTCAGAGGAGGGAGGCAAGATGACTGACTAGAGACACTGGTCACCAGATTGTCTCAGAAAAAATAAAAAGTTTTAGTTTGAAGAAAAACATAGCTCAGGTGTAACTCTGAGGGAAAAGTGCCAAATCATGTATACTGTGTGGCCATCACATTCAAAATGACTGAGCAAGTTGAGCAATGAATCTGCATCAAATTTTGCTTTAAGCGTGAACATTCCTCTGCAGAAACGATTTGGATGACTCAAAAAGCTTTGAGTGAAACACAAATAAAAGTGTGGCATAATGCTTCAAAGGTGGTCGAGAATCTATTGAAAGTGATCCACGGCCTGCAACAAGCAGAACACCTGAGAATGTTAAATGTGTACAGGTTAGGTTAAGAGATGCTGGGAGAACTGTATGAAATCCCAAGGTGCCTACTTTGAAGGACACTGAGGCACCTTTGTCCGATGCACAATGTTTCTTATATCTTCTCCAACAAATGTCTCTATTTTTCATATTACATGGCTGAATACTTTCCAGACAAACCTCGTATATTCGCATATACATGTATATGGACTATATATTTACATAAAGTTTCAACACTTTATAGGGAGTATATAAAGGCAATGTAACATATTAAAACAACAATAATAATTTTGCTGATGAATTTTAGTAAAGGTAATCATGGGCATTAAATATTAGGTTAGTTTTTAAAAAAAGCAATCCTGTGAGCTTTTTAAAAATAACTATTTCCACCCAATAGAATTAAATACAAATCTCAGAGATTGAGAGCTGGCATTGGTGTTTGTTCTTCTTTTAAAGCTTTCCTTATGTGTTAGTTACCTATTGCAGCATAACAACCACCCAAAATGTACTAGCTCAAAGGAATTATTCATTGTTTCTCATTTTTCTCTGGGTTGACTGGTAGGATCTGTTGCTTGACTCACCTATGTTCATGTACGCTGCTGCATTTGGCTGCTGGCTAGTTTGGAAGGTCAAAAGTAGGCTCACCCAACATGTCTGGGATCTTGGGGCTGAAAGTCAGCTGGGTTCTCTCTCCACGGGAATGCATCATTCTTTAATATCTAGTCTTTCTTACATGGAAATTTAGCAAAAACCAAAGTTTCAATGCCTATTTTTAAGGATATACTAGAAATTGCACAACCTTTCCTCTGCTATATAGTATTGTTCAAAGCAAGTCACAGAGCCAACCTAGATTCAAAGGAAAGGAAAACTGACTCTCTTTTTTTTTTTTATGAGATGGCAAAAAGTTACATTGTAAAAAGTCAAGTGCGGTGGAAGGGCTACTGTGGCCATCTTTGCAGACAGTCTCTCACAAACAATGACTCTGGTTCCACCGTGAAGGGTAAGGACAACCAGTTTAATTAAAGGGCTTTATTCTGCACATTTTAAAAAGACTCACTGCAAATAAGCTCTCATTCTAAAGCTCATTCAAACTCAGCTGTGGAATTCAAAATTTGAAAAGGAAATTCACTTCTAGGTTTATCAAATTCAAATAGAAAAGGTGAGATATAGATTTCACAGCTAGGTTTCCAATAATTGAATTTACTCTATAATGCAAAGTTCTGCTTAAGTTTTGTTTGTCCAGGAGATGTCAGCCTTGCACAAGAAAAATGTCAAGATGTCCGGCTCTGCAGGCTACCTGCAGGATCTACATGGTTATCCTTTTCTAGGCAATCTATGCAATGCCCAGAACACCAGTTTTTCTCACAAACTTGTCCCAACTTTTACTAAAGGTTAGTACTTAAAAATATTAGATTTGAATTACTAGGCAAAAAGTATGGTTAGAAGTTACACATTTCAGGTATGTACCTAGATTCCATTTTCTGCCAGTGATGGCATTGCAATAGGAGAGATTATAGTCAGAAATGTTGAATTTTATTGGCTCTAAGGCACACATTTTGCCAAATTTTAGCCTGTCCTAAAATTGGTGATGTCAACCAATTTAGTTGTCCTCTTTTTTTTTTTTTTGCCTCCTTACGTGTAATGTAAAATAATTACACATAATTATGAGTCTTACAAAATATGGTTTACCAAATTCAATAAAATACCATAACTTGAGGAATTAAATGCATGCAGTCTCTCAAGAAAATCAGGAAAATATTTTGTAGATTTTCTTTCTATGTTTACCTTAAAGAATAGATATCTTCTTTGCTGACACAGTCTTTAGCTAAGGCAAGCGGTCACAGTGATTAATTCTTTCCAAAGGTCTATGCATTTGTTTAATCATCTTTTCACAAAGCTGTAAACCAACTCCTCTGTCAACCCACTTGTCTCAACCCACTCCTCTATCATATTTTAAGAGATCACAAGAAGGGAGATAGCTGTGAAAACAGCTCAGTACTGCCAATATTAAAGCCTGTGTGATGAATATGGAAGCGGGGAATTCTTTTTTGTTTTTCTTTTTTGTTGTTGTTATTTTTTTTAATTTCAGCATATTATGGGAGTACAAATATTTAGGTTACGTATACCTTTGCCCCACCCGAGTCACAGCTTCAAGCATGTCTATCCCCCAAACAGTGCACACTGCACTCATCCCCTCCTCCCTACTTCCATCCGTCCGACACCAGATAAATGTTACTACTGTATGTGCACCTAAGTGTTAGTCGATTAATACCAATTTGGCAGTGGGTACATGTGGTGCTTGTTTTTCTATTCTTAGGATACTTCACTTAGTAGAATGGGTTCCAGCTCTATCCAGGATAACACAAGAGGTGCTAGATTACCATTGTTTCTTATAGCTGAATAGTACTTCATGGTATATATATATACACCACATTTTATTAATCCACTCATGTATTAATGGACACTTTGGTTGTTTCCACCTCTTTGCAATTGTGAATTGTGCTGCTATAAACATTCTAGTGCAGATTTCTTTTTTATAGAGTGTCTTTTGTTCTTTTGGGTAAAGGCCCAGTAATGGGATTGCTGGATCAAATGGTAATTCTATCTGTAGCTCTTTGAGGTATCTCCATATTACTGTCCATAGAGGTTGCACTAGTTTGCAGTCCCACCAGCAGTGTAGGAGTGTTCCTATCTCTCCGCATTGATGCCAACATTTATTGTTTCGGGACATTTTGATAAAGGCCATTATTTCTGGAATTTTTCATTTAATATTTTCAGACCATCGTTGATCACAGGTCACTGAAATGGTGACAAGCAAAACCACAGATACGGAAACACTACTGTGTCTTCTTTTCTCTTCCTCGGCCTCCCTTTATCTGTACTGTCTTGTTGTTTTGGCTGTGAGAGGCAGAAAGACAAGCTAGCTGCATTGCATAATGCCCATTTTCTGACTGGTAGTTCAAATGGATCACCAAGACTATTTTCAAGGCTGTCAAGCCACACAACTTCAGGTATCAGCACTCACATAGAAATTTAAGTATTGCTTCTGGACATGTGCAGAGCAGAGGCTCTGGCTCCATCCACATGACTTACACAGCCCTCCTGATACAAAGAGCTTCTAGCCATTATACCTTATAGCACTTTCAGAGATATTTCATATGTTTTATAATCATATAGAGGGATAAATCCATTTTATACTCAAAAAGACTCAGAGAAGGAAAATAACTTAACAGGATCATGCAACTAGTTAGTTAGTATCAGAGCCAGAACTAGAACCCAGGTCTCCTGACTTCCACGTCAATTCTCTTTCCATCAGAGCCCACAGCCCCAGATGAGCAGGAGTTCAGACTATTACTGTGGATCGGAGCAAGCCTCACTACCTATACTTGAATCTGACCTTCATTAACTGGGTGCCCTGGCCCTTTGAGCTAAATAGCAATGCCTCACCACCTTTGTCACCACTGGATTTTGCTTATCTTCTTATAAACTCACCAGCAAGAGGAGTGTTATATGGATTAAGCAGGAATGTTCACAGGAGACTTTGAGCTCCTAGTTTAGTGTAAGACATTACAGGAAAATTAACAATTTTTATTGTTAATTTTATTGTTAATTTACTTTTTATTAAATGCCATGAAGACACAGAGAAATTAATTTCCCAGATGATGACATTATTATTATTATTATTTTTTTTTTTGTAAAAAAGATATGTGTTGGCAAGGTTATGGAGAAGAAGAGTCTGGACAGATGGGTAGAGGTTGAACACGGAAGGGTGGTTGGGGAGTAGAAAAAGAAGAAGCAGGATATTCATAATCTAGGCAGAGAGAAATGAAATGTCATAATGTCTTCAGAAACTACACTTGTTCCTAGCAGGAGAAAGTCAATATGTGGGAGAAAGATCAAAAGTGAGAATAAGAAAGATAGATAGAAATCAGATTATGAAGTAAAATCTTTTATGTTATGTCAAGTTTTTTTATTTAGTCTAAAAAAATAGGAAGGCATTGAAAAATTTACGAAGAAAGTTATATGATTAGAATTGTCTTTTAGAAAGATCATTTGGGCAGAGATATGACAGATAGGTTGAGTAAGGGGCCAGTGAAGTAAGGAAAATAGAAATCTACCACAGAAATCCAAGGAGAAATGGAGAAATGTGATGGTCAAAAATAAGATGAGAGCACTGGGAATGGAGGGGAGGAAAAGCAGGATTTTGAGATATTTAGGAGGTAAAATGTTTAAGCCTACAACCAGTTAGACTTGTGTTTGAGGGAGAAAAAAGGGATGAGAAAAAGAAACATAGGGCAACTTCCAGGTTTTTTCTTGGGCAACTAAGTGGATATTAATGTCCTTTTATTAAGAATGAAGTACAGTAAGAGTAACAAGTTGGAAAGCAAACATTTAAAGTATAATTTTCAAAAAGGCAAGATAATGACTCTCATGCAAACATAAGATAAACATGTTCAAAGATTTTATTTAGCTCATTAATTAATAAAGATACCAGCAATATGTTTAAATTGGGCCAAAGAGTATTTGAGAAGCTAGTTTATATACATAGACAACTTAATAGATTGCCAAGTTACATACAAAACTGGTTAATATTCAATGACACCATAAACTGTATCTCTGGGATTATTGGTTCCACTGGACAGAAATTATTTGCATCATTACCCAACATAAACCTGCAAGATACACTTTGCCGCTACAGAGTTGTAAAATTGCCCTGTAAATAGAAAGTCAAGACTAACACTGCACTGAAAGAATATCTGCTTATCTTGTTGGCCTATTTTCAAGTTTAGAACAACTTGATGAATTCAGATTTAGACAAGGGTAAGTTTGAGGTACTTGTGAAATACTAAAATAAAGAACTTTGTGTCTTAGTCTGTATTCTATTGCTATAACAGAATACCATAGGCTGGATAATTTATTTAACAAATAAATTTATTCCTTACAGTTCTGAAGACTGGGAAGTCCAAGGTTGAGAAACCTCATCAGTTGAGGGTTTTCTAACTGAATCATAACATGGCAGAGGACATCACAGGGCAAGAGAGCAAGAAAATGCCATCTCAGATCTCTCTTCTCCTTTCTTATAAAGCTACCAGTCCCATCATGGGGCCTGCCCTGATGACCTTTTCTAGTCCTAATTACCTCCCTAAGCCGCCACCTTTTAATACTATCACAGTAGCACTTAAATTTTAATGGGAGCTTTAGAAGGGACACTAAAACCATAGCAATCCATAAGTCAGCTGGGTATATAATGAGAAGAGAGGGTTCTGGAGTTCAAGGCTTACTTATAATAGGTGAAGGCATGAGAAAAGATAGTTCACCCAGAGAAGATATGCAGAATCAGAAACAAGTCAACAAGAAACCCTTAGAAACATTAATATTTAAGGTTTGATGAAGAAAAAGATATTCATAAAGGAGCAGCTATTTTGATTGGAAAAAGAAAGTTGCAAATAAAAGACAAGTTAAGGTTGTCTCAAGAAAGAGAGTGTAGCATTCAGTAACATATGCCATAAAATATCCAGTTGGAGAATGCAAAGGTATGATTGTATCTGCAGCTAGATGATGATTACTAACCTTGATAGGAGTATTTTTATTTGTGTGATGGGATCTTAAAATATTAGTATGAAAAGTGAATAGGAAATTATGGAAAGAAAGTAGATAAAGAGATCAAGACACTCCAGGGAGTGCTTTTCTGCCTCCTCTCCCCCAGGATGGGGAAAGTTTAAGTATACAGTCAATATTTCCTGAAGGGAAAGAATCATTAGAATGGGAGAGGCCATGGCTCCAGAGGGAAGGGTGTGGGGTCACTGGAGAACTAGGATGAGTTGAGACACAAAGCACCTTTTGAGGGTGCAGCCATAAAGTAGTGCTATGGATCTTTGAGATTAGAAGAAAGGAAAAATGATAGGTGTGAAGACAGTTATATTGGTCATCTGGAGAGGAAGTCAGTAATTTCTGCCTATTGGATTCTCTCTTTTTCCTGTGGGAGTCATCACTAAAAAGTGTGAGGCAGGGGAGCATAGGAAAGATTTGAGAATCCCATTACAGAGAAAGGACAAGAGAAACATTTATTAATAGAAACATGATATCTGAATATGTGAATAATGTTAGGCTCAGCCCAAGGTGCAGAACATGAATTAGTCGGGATTTGGTGATATTCTCCAACAGTGCTCAGCAATTCATGCAAAAGAACGTAAAAGAACAAAAATAAAAGTATAGATGTGTACTTTTATAAGTGTAAAAGGATATAACTTTAAGTATAAAAGTATTCTTTTATAAGTATTAAAGAATAAGAGATAAACCCTTCCAGGAATCTCAACTCTACTGCTGCTGCTGCTGCTGCTGCTAATAGCTTCAAATGTTACTTAGAGCAGTAAGAAACATTTCCACAGGTGGAGTACACAAATTCCTACCAACCTCAGTACCTAAAGTTGTTTCAAAAGTGTGTGATGTGTTTCTCTCCCATTCCCATTGCAGGCTTTCTCAGCCACCACAACAGCACATGCTCTGACAGGCAACAGCTTCAGGGAAGAGCCTAATTCCCACCTCTTCTTGCAGGAAAT